ACTACAATTTTTTGTATTGTAGTGAAGAAATATTTGGCTCGGTGCTTCTTGTGATTCCATTTGATACCGAAGATGAGGCGATTGAGATAGCAAATGATACGACGTTAGGCCTTGCCGCGGGGCTTTTTACCAAGTGAGTGCACTGTACAATTTTGTTGATGTAAAAACTTTGAGGGTACATAGTAGTAGTGATGCTGTTCGTAGAAAACAGAAATTTGAGTATTCCAGAGACTTGGCCCGAGCTCACCGTGTTGCTGATCGCCTTCATGCTGGAAACGTCTATGTAAATACCTACAATGATGTTTGTAAGTTTGAAGCCTTTTTTACTTGCAATGGTCACATGATCTCCAACTACGATTATGTATCCCGTTACCCTTCCTCTTTAATTGGGTATCAGGACTAGTGCTTGCAGCATAGTAAGGTAGATGTCGGACTCTGCGATTGCTGCTGGCGATTATATATCGCGACAGCAAACGCGGAGTCTGACTCCTATCTTATGCTTCAAGCACTTATAATCTCTTTTGAAGCGAGGATTGTAGAGTGGGGACTTTAGATCTACCTTGCCCAGGTCAACTATGAGCCCTGTCGCGGCTGGTCAATTGATGATGTCATATCCTCTGGAAAGAGAAGCCTTGACTTCCATCTCGGAATTGATTAGGCGTTTGTACGAGTATCAGACCTGCAGCATCGTGCACAAATCACATTGTAACCCTAATGTGCTTACGAACAAAGTCGAGGTCGAGTGCATGGCGCATCCCATTGTGGCTGATCCACGTCGATCATTTTTGGAATTCCATTTTGAAGGCACATTGAAGTAGGAAAAATTGTACACTGCCTACCCACTAACTGGCCTCTACAATTGAATCAGTCGAGTTGTTACTTCTTGAAGACTAACTCTGCGGTTCACTAGCTCAAGAGTTCCTTTACGTATTGTGTTCCATTCAATTTCAGCGCCATTCGTGCCGTTCGGGGGTTATGGCGATTCCGGCTTCGGACGTGAGAATGGCACTGCGGCCCTTGAACATTACTCTCAAATAAAATCTGTGTTTGTTTCGATAGCGCCAAAGTTGGAAAATCCATTCCAGTAAGTACAAGTGAGAATATTACGGGATTGTCGGTCGCCATTGTTTATATTAGTAGAAATGATTGAAAGTACCAATTTTATCTTTATGCCAGTCAGTGGTCTCAGTATAACCTTAGCTGTATCAGCTATAGATGACCTTATAGATGAAGAAATTGGGAGCATTAGCAGCTCTTCAACAGAACATCATGAGAGCTTTCCGCTTCTCATAGCTACTTCCTAATTTTAAAGAAGTCTTGAAAAAAATACGCGAAGTAGAAATAATATCTAAAGCATGTATAGAAATTTTCGTTATTGAGCCCATTATGTCAAGTAACTTCTCAGAGTGTTAGTTTATTTACGTGCTTGTCGTTGTTTGTGTTTTTTCCATCATTGTTCTCCGATGTACAAAGCTTAAATAAGACATTTATGTAAGTAAGGCAAATCTCTGGGCAATCGATAAAACAGAAATAACAGTTGTAGAAAGAGAAAAATATTATGAAGCAGTGAAAATATGGCAAGGAGATCAAAAATGTGATTAGAGGCGATTACAGTAGTCGATACGTCATGCGATAAGCAATGCAGATGATAAATGCGACAATATGAATGTGATTCACATGCAAGGTGGAAAATTTTGAAAGATAATTCCTGCTGACTTTCCAAACAATAGCGCTCAAGACAAAATAAAGAGGTAAATATAAATAAAAACATCAAATAATGCAATCATACGGGTAAGTCAGAAACAAATATAAAGAATTTCCTGCAAAAAAAAGTTGTATCAGCTATCGAAGAGATAGTTTAAACCCTAGACAAGCAGAATTTCGATAAAGTTAAGAATTTCTTCAAAGCAACAACCCCAGACGTGTGGAACAATCTACTCTGTGGGTAGGATAGAGTAGCCCGCTAGTATCACAGTGTGCCGTTGTCGCGGCTCGAAAGTGCGCGACAATGGCGCTAGGGCCTTACAAAGTGAGCTAATGACGGCTAATGTGAGCTAATGGACGAGATACCTCGCGCATTCATCACAAACGTGGATTACAGGAGCAGATAATTCAAATACATTCGGGTTAGTTGAGCCATAGAAGCAAGTTTAGGCAACTCGTCCAGACACGCCCTTCCCTTTTTTAAAGACAAAGAAAGGGGTCTTTGATTAAGCTTCATCGGTGGTTATGGCTCCGCTTTTATTTTGCCAACTTGGCATCCACAAATTCATTATCGACCAGTTACCCCATCCGTTCGACCTAGGGTTGTTGCTTCAACTGAATTACGTGGGTTAATCCTGATCTATGATGTGACTCTCCGAAATTCCACTGATATGGTACGTTCTAATACATTGGGGCATGGTTTTCCACAAAGAAACGAGACAAAAGGGCCTTTCATGAAGTACAGCTGTGAGATGTACAGATTGTGTTCTTTTTGGCTAATGCAGAAAATAGATAGATAAAATAGAGCATTTTAGCCATGTATCAGACTTTGCGATGGTCGCTAGCAAACTACGCGATTCGCCAGCGACTGCTCGCAAAGTATGACATCTGCCCAGTTTTTAAGAGTGCCCCCGATAGGAGGTCTATGGACTACCGTAGCAAGCCTCGACAAAGCATGCACCCTTCACCTCACTGCTTCACTCACAGATGAGCAAAACGACTTTTATTGGGTATGTTGTTAGGTCACGGCGAACCTACACACATGTTTCGTATCTTGGCGCTGAGAAATTGCGCGAGTGAGATTCACGACTGACTTTGGGAATCCTTGGAGACGCAGACATCGACTGCACAGCTTGTCCGGGCGAGCGCAAAGGGAGAGCGTTAGGAGGGGTGTTAGGGGGTTACGTAAGTATGCTGCGCGCGGCACAGCACAAATGAATTCGTCACCGAACGTCACTGTGACCAACTGGAACATACTTCTATTCTTCATGAATGCTTCTTTTACCTGCGGCGAAACATATCAAATGCTTATCATCGGTCATCAAGAGCGTCAGAAAAAGCACAATGTATTTGCACGTGTCTTTATATCGACTAACTCTATCAATACAATGGGAATTTATGACTTGATACTCTAAAATCAGGGATGTACTTCATGAAGGATGAAAGTAGAGTTTTGGAGTTTTGAACTTCGAAAACTAGTTGCTCACGCTTAAAAGACGCAATCAGCACAGCGATCAGTTTCCTGAATGCATAGTTCTCATTCATCGCGCTGGACTCATTACACTTATTTTCGAACGAAAACAGACGTCGGTTACAGAGAACAGAGCATATGTTCTACCATAAATTTTAAATGCACTGTCAACTGAAATTACTCTAAGCGCTGTAAACAAAAATGTAAATAAATCTCAAAGTACTTCTAAAACAGGTATAGTACTTCAAAGCAAGTGAAATAATGGAGCACAATGTTTGTGTTGAAAATATTTGAATAGTAAGAAAAAATGAGCAGTATGTGAGAACCCACGAAGCAGAATGAGCATTGCTTAGGCGACTTATCACTATTCGCTACATTCAAAAAGCGGGAATCAGGCTAGAAATAGGCAAAGATACGTGCTTGCACACATAGAAGAAGTTCTAAGATAGCGGAATATCCAAAAACATCTAGTTTTATTTTGATGACTAGTTCCACCTTTAATAAATATTATTTTTAACGCCGTGATCCCTTCATGAAAGTGACAATTCGCATAAAGCATCGTTAGTGAGCAGAGCTTTTCAATTTCATCCGTAATGCGCTATTTTAGAAGCGAAAATAGCAACAGAAAGTGGAAAATAAACCGTATTCTCAGACATATGGAACTATCCGCGGTGTACGGATCATAAAATGAAGCAACATGTGTTGTTGCTGTGGCAGTGACGGAACAACACCCGTACAGAATAATGTGGGCGAGAAAATCGTTGAGATATTCTCAACGCTCATTTTATTCTGAGCGCTATGCTCTGCTACCTGAAAAACTATTATAAAAGGCAAAATAAAGCAAATCAAAAAAACGACACACCTTTCGAAGATGAATGAGAAGAGCGTTTAATGTTACAGCATTCGCCTCGGAAAGTTCTTCTAATGCCTTTCTGAACAGAAGCATAATGCGGAGTGAAGAGCAGCTTTAAAACTCTCTTGCCAAAAAACACTTGGAACAAAAAAATAACGAGCATATATGACATGTGTGTAAAACGGAAGTCCAGTTTCGAAGACGAGCTATTTAAGAAGTAGTGTAAAGTTCAAAAAGTGCCTCAGTGAGGTCATATGTTATATTGAAGAAATAACAGAGGTACAGAAAACCCAAATGCATTTTTAAACCCACCGACATGCTCGTGTTTTCTCGTGTACACTTCGTGCATTGGCAAACGCCACTAAAAGCGCTTTATATACACTAAACGGGACCAGCTGTTGCGGAAGTAGTCGTAAATACAGCTTGAGTAAGCCGCAAACCGTGTGAATATCGTCCACCTATAATACTGTTGCTCATTTCAAAACGATAAAAACGCTTTCTCTTGGAAAAAATGGTTGCAAGTTATGAAAAATGAGTTGATACCCGGAGTACATAGTGCTCAAATTAAGTAAATAACTGTCGCAGAAACCCTAAAAACTCAGGGAACACCAACCTGCGTTTAAATCCATCATTTGTTGTTGAAGTCAAATAGCCGTTTTCAATTTTTCCATTGCTGTGGGGTGAACCAGAACTCGAGTATATGCTCTTACATTCAAACCACGAGCTTCCACCTGTAATAAATGGTTTTGAGGTGACTAAACAAATAGCTTGTCTTGCTAAACGCAGTAGCTTAACACACTTCTTGAATGCATTTAGTGACCACTGGAGGAATAGGAGTAGAATGTGCCAAGCAAAGTGTTGGAGATTCAACGGCAAACATATCTCTTCACGTTAGCGAGCTGTAGGCGGCAGTGCCAGGACAAAGTGTGCTCAGAGCCACCGCTTTATGTGGAGCACGAAACACAGTTTCACACCGGACACCCTGAGAAACACAATAAAAGTGAATATTTGAGAAAAATTACTAAAGAAATAAAAAAAAATAGGAAAACGAATGAACTTTTGAGTGAGAAAACTCAGTCGCTTAATTACCAGGGACGATGAGAAAAAGAAAACAAAAAAATGCTCTTCAAATGTTAAAGAAAAAGTGAAGCCCCACCTGCTGTACTAGTCCCCACATGAAATTCCGACAATAATCACAATAGTGTGGCATTTTAAACGTATACTGAGTAAAACTATGCGAACGGGCTACTGGTTTTCGTTCGCTGCTTTTCGTATACTGCATGTACGGACTGGAATAAGAAAGAATATTAGCAAACACTCAGAGGAAATCGATAAAGAAAAGAATCACCTGTGCTCGTAAATTGCCTCGTCGGCCATTCTTTTAATGTAGTCTGACGCATGTTTATCCATGAACATTGAGATCAGACCGTCAGCCACCAATAATTCCATGGTTTCAAACCGTTTCTCACCCACATAATGAGTACCATCGTAATAGAGCTAAATTACTAGTGCTGTACGGTACCAATTGTAAACTTCTCTAGTAACAGCACAAAAAATTATTTAATTTGCAGCCCCTCACTCAAGTGAAAGCATAGGACAATGAAATTAGTCTTAGATGATCAAATCCATAAGGTCACAGAACCTCTACAAGAAGCTGGATTATGGAAGGAGACTAAAGTTCAGGACAATGCTTTTTGCTTTTAAAAGATACTCTAAAGATCCATATGTATATTCAGTTAACTGCTTGGAGACTTAGGTCGTGAAAACGCGTAATCCTTCGCTGACGAGATCTTTTTCTACTAAGGGGTTTCAAAGAGTGACGAAAGCGCGAATTCGTCAAACAATCGACAGAGTCGAAAGGCATCAGCGCATATTACAGCATCACCGATGAAGCTATGCGGACTATTCGTTGCAATACACAAACAGCTCAACGGTGGTCTTTCTAGCAAAAACTTTAGCGTCCATGAAAGATAGTTTTCCGATCCGTAGGACTCATCAAGATTGTTCACGATGTGTAATACACTTCTCAATCAAGAATTCTAATGTGATTCCTATTTAATGGGGGTGGTGCCAGAGTCCGCGATTCGTCGCAGGTTTCGCGCGATTTGCGCGAATCGCAAAAATTGCAAGTGCCCCATTTGAACATTTGAAACACTGAATATGAAACAAGTAGAATCATGAACAGTCGTCATTCAGCCATCACCTTCAAGCAGAAATGGCGGCGGCTGAATGACACCGCAATTTCTGCTTAGATTGGAGAGCACCTCGCAGTATTGATCGAGCACTTGCGATTCCAGTGACTCGTCGCACAATCGCGCGAAACCTGCGACGGATCGCAGACTCTGACACCAGTCTTAAATTCTTCGAAAAAAAACAAATCAACGCAGTGGACAAACCTTTCGAAACATGGTGAAAAAAGGAGTATGCTAGGAAGGCAAAAAGAGGATCTCTCAACAGCTCTTTCTTTTCCTTTTCGACAAGGTCACCGGAGAAAGACAGCATAAAGTTGGAAACTGGTGTTTACTATACAGCACACGATTTGCTCTTTCAGAAATAAGATGAACCGCGCTGCGTCGAAAATGTAGCGACGAGGAGTGGACAACCGTCAATTATCAGTTAAGACGAAAACCATACCTTATAATTGAGGACGCGGCCGTCGAACAGCATGCAAAGTGTGAATGCATCCTGAGATCGCTTGGATTCCCTTACGAGGAATGCTCCCTCACCAGCTTCCATAAGCATTCTATCTGCCTAAACAAACTAAGCATCTAATTCAGACAGGCGAGTGGCCAAAAGGCCTAAAAAATCGTGCCATTTGCTATGAAATTGTATGAAAACGTTTTGAAAAGAATAGCATCCAAAGACTTTTGCCAATATTGATACAAACATATGAAGAAGGAGAAATCCCAAAATTTCCTTAGTTTTTACGAGAACTCGCACGAAATTCTCTGCCAAACCCTATACATATGCTCTTTCGAAAAAAACAAGAACCAATTCCCTCACCCACTATAAGCCAGCGAAAGAGCTTCGCCCATTCAGTCGAGAAGACCACGCTCGAATTTAGGCATACCATTATATCACTTGTTAACATAGCCCTCTCTACTTAGCTCAAGTCGCGACTACCTCTATCTCCATTCTATGGCCGCCTCAGCCTTGAGCAACGTAAAGGATTGCGCGAGTATTTAGGCACGTGTGACTGGGAATAGTTGAGAAATGGAGCACTAAAGAAGGGAAAGTTCACGGATGAACGATTGCGGCGTATTTTGAATGGCGTGTTGAGAAACAAAGAATGGAATGGAAATACTTACTCAACTCTAGTGCGAACCTTGAGACATCCCTCGACTCTGTCAATGAGCCCATGAAATTCGTTTCCATATTGAGGAGGTCTATTCTCAATAACACGGTTACACGTAACAGCCAATGGTTTCGGTGCCCGTTCTTGTAACAAATAAAGATTCTGCTTCCAGTAACCGAGACCACCTAAATCGCAAAACAATAGTACATCAAACACAAGGATTTAAGTGGGTTATCCAAAAAAGAACTAAGGAAACTTAAAAATTGCAAACCAACCAATAGAGCCTCCAGTTCCGCCGGTATCGTCTTCCATTGGTAAGCAAATGCTAACTACTCACGAGTAACAACACCAGAGAATCAAAATCACATAAATAACACCTAAAATAAAGGGGTTTTTACCTCAATAGGGTGGAAAGTCAACAAATTAGGAAAAATATAGCTGCATTAATGATGAGGAGTAGAAATATTGATCGTACAGCTTTAGAACACCTAAAACTGCAAATTAATCGGAAATCAAGGCATGACACATAAGACGTCAAAGCTTTCTTGGAAAAAATCGCAGCGAGAACAAATTAGGCGTCATAGTATCGGCTACGACATCGTAACACTACAGTAGGAATAAATAATTTTTGGAGGCCAACAACCGAACTTTGAGGCTTCTGAGTGCATACTTTCTTGGTGTTTTATACTTTGTTTAAAATCTGTTGAAAATTATGGGTTCCGTATGTGAACCGTTCAGCTCCTTTCTTGTCGGTTTTCTCAGTAACTTCTCACAATCTTCGTCCATTCGGTGTTGGTAGTACACTAGCGCAGTGCCACTTCTGAACAGTTGTGTTTTGGTGGTGTATTCTCTTTACCCACCTCCTTCATTTCATCTTTTTGTAGTACTTGTGACCATAAGTAATTCTCATAGCTTCTCCGATGCAATGTTGCTATATATTTGAGGTTGTTGCAATATGGATGTCGCTCGTTTTCATTCTTTTCTCTCTCACTTTGCTTTGGAATCTTTGGCGGTAAAATTGCACCCACGCGAAAGAGGAAATCACAGAGTATCGACTACTTGTCAGCTCATCCTGAGAGGCCTTCTTTCTTCACTAATAATTTCCTTCAATGGTAGGTGACCAGAAATTCTCTATGTGCGGCGACTTCAAACAACGGAAAACAACCGCTCATCAACACTGAAGGCGGGTTCATCGTTTTCGGGACAGGAATAAAATTTGTGAATAAGAAAACTTGCAGTGGTCCAAGACTTCAAAAAATAGTGTGAATTGAAGCCTAGCCAAAGCTTTGCGAGAACGCCCACGTGCGCTATTTTGGCATGATCGCCACCATTGCATGATTTGGCAAGACAAACACGCTATAGTATGGTTCAAGCGGCATTCACATTGCAACGACTAATATTTGCATAAATCGAGACGTCGCTATGGACGCTTTCATAATCACTCGTTCGATCGTACCTATACCTTGGAAATTCACGCCCAAGTTTCTTAGTAGACAGAATTTTGAAAGAGGTGTATGAGGAGCTGCCTCGCTTCTGAAAAGAAAAACGTTAGAAAAGCTCATCACGTTTCCTGGTTTAGTTTTTGCGCGATTCTTGTGCCTATCTTCTCCTCATTGAAAAATTTTATTACGAGTTCACTTCCTCTCCAAACTGTGCTTCAGGTTGGGTTAATTAGCAGTGATGGCGGCTTTTTTATGGCTCGCTCTGGTGGCGAGCGTTTCGGCCGACATCTATAGCTGTGGCGGATTTGTAAAGTCAAGTGTTCCTATAGATTACTCGAAAATACAGGTAAGTATGCTCCCATAAAAAACAAGAGAGCGTTGATGAATCAGGGAGGGGGTTGGAGCTGACCCTTGTTTTCTTCCTTACGTTCCTTTTATTTCTTGGGGCGCTACTGTACTGGGGGAAGGGTCGTGGCACGAGAGTTGGTGCCGACAACAGTAATTCAATATTGCTAGAAAAGGACGGTCAGGGATGTGAGAACCATTTTAATATGCCGAAAGGTCGTCTTGCATGCTTCAACGGAAATTGTTCCCCGTGGTTCCGGAAGCTTCACAAGGGAAGGATACCAGGTCGAAGTGGCCATTTGTAACGAGACATACACCACTAGATGTGTTTTTGGACGCTGATCTCGAATCTGCTCTCCAAATCTGCGGAACGATTCTCTGAACGTAGTTATGAAGCGAGATAGTGCAGTGGCAGCGGCCGGCCGACGAGCAAGAGGTCGTGGATCGACTTCTTGGCGAGTCTCACTTTGCTTTTCTTGAAACATTGTTCAAAGAACTTTTATCCATGCTAAGTCATCAGCGATTGCCTATCATACAAGTGGAAAGAGCTGGCGAAGTGCTTCGAACACTGTGCGCGTCATTTGCAAATGACCGTCTCTGGCACCCGTAGCGCATGCGTCATGCACTTTCTTGCCAAATAGATGTGATTTTCGTGTTCAGCGCATCAAACTACCCCTTCGACAACTTTTGATCCAAATCCAAAATTTTGACCTAAAGTCGAAAATGTGGGCACACACGACCGACAGGACACGGCAAATGACGCGCACAGTGTTCGAAGCTCTTTGCCAGCTCTTTCCTCTTATATAGGATAGGCAGTCGCTGATGATTAGCATGCATAAGAGTTCTTTGAACAATGTTTTCAAAAAAACAGCTGAAAACTCGCCAAGAAGTCGATCTCACGACCTCTTGCTCGTCGGCCCGGGCCGCTGCCACTGCACTATCTCGCTTCATAACTACGTTCAGAGAATCGTTTCGCAGATTTGGAGAGCAGATTCGAGATCAGCGTCCAAAAACACATCTAGTGGTGTATGTCTCGTTACAAATGGCCACTTCGACCTGGTATCCTTCCCTTGTCAGTGCTCTCTGTACGGTCTTTTGACAATTTGAGCTCGGTCCTATAAAGCGCCTCTTTTTGATGCTCTCGCCTGCACATGATTCTTGTGATCTCACACAATCAAACTTTGCGAAATGGTCACCCTTGATCCACCTTCTAAGGCTTAGTTTTACGATTTTCGCATCCCGTTCCGTTCCATTTTGGGATTTGTAGCCGAGCCAGGCGCTGTTCTCTAATCGCCTGAGCCTACCCATTCGCGTAAGAGAACATGGATGAAGGTTCAAGTAGTCATGTAATCGCTCTGGGCGGCGGTGCCCCGACCCCGTAGCACACTAGTACACCCAGGATTTGAAGGATTTTTAAGGGGAGGGGATGGCCTTCAGTATAAACGGCTTCCATTTTGGCCCTATTTCATGTGTCAAGCTATTCGTCGGAAATACATAATAATACAAAACACCTAATTCAATTCTAGGTGAAACTTCTCACTCCCGAAGGGCATCTCAAACACGAAGAAGAATGTAATCCGCGGAATGGCTATTATATGATCCCAGTTTATAATAAGGGCCAATACTCATTAAAAGTATCTGCGCCAGAGGGGTGGTATTTCGGTAAGATTTCGTTTTATAAATCCTTTCGAAGGCGAATATCTGGAAAAATAGTTCAATTCAGAACCGGAAACGGTCGACTTCAAACTTGATGGTGTTAATGATCCGTGTACGAAGAATGAAGATATCAATTTTTCCCTGACAGGTAGTCAAAACGTCTTTGATCGAGACATATTTATCACCATTACCTGTCATTTTTAGGGTTTTCCATCAGTGGAGTTGTGAACGGCGGTACCGGAAGCGGACCAGCTGGACTTTCACTGACTCTCAAACAAAATGGGAAGGTCGTGGATACCGCAACAACAGTTGAAGGAGGGAAGTACTCCTTCAAAGCAGTTGCAGGTATGTTAAGTGGCTTTTATTCAGAAACTGGATTTCTTTTTGAAAGCTGTTTCCAAAGCCCTTTTTATTTCGATCACTCCATTTGAGTTTATAGGAAAGTATGAAGTGTCCACAGGAGCGGATTCTTCTGTGTGTATCAGTCACGGAAAGGCTCTTGTAGAGGTTTGTACGTTTTTTCTGGATGATTTTTTCTTTCGTTTGTTTGCTTATGGTCAGTTAAATACGAGGAACCCACGTTTTTTTACAGAACTATAAACTGTTAGTTGTTTTGTTTACTTAGTTTCCAATGTCACTACTTTACGTCAGTTGAAGTTGCCTAGTTTGTCCACTTGTTGGATTTCATTCGCTGACTGACTTATGAATTAAAGAATTGGGAATTAAGATTTGTGATTTCTTCTCTCATCCATTTTGCTCAAAATTTCCGTGCTCCATACCTCAACTATTGCGCCAGTTCTGATACATTTAGGGTTAAGATACCAGAGTGATAAAATTCCGTCGTTATGACCGAATCTGCTGAAGAATCTTTTTTTTCTTGACAGAGCTAATTACTAAAACGGTCTGTCTCTATGTTTAGGTTACAAATTCGCCGGTTGTTGTGAAGCCGGATCTCAGCATAGCCGGTTACCATTTCACAGCTACTGTCACTAACAAAGGAAAGCCATTACCTAATGTTCGCCTCACCTTATATTCAGAAGTGAAACCAGAAGTAAGTTAATGAGCTTTTTTCAAAAATATGTTTTTTGTGATTTTTTTTGTTTTCTTGGAGAAAGTTTCCATCTCTGATTTGTTGGTCAACATCACTTTGTATGGAAACTAGAAAACGTTCAGCGTTGGCCAATCCCTTTCTGAGTACGCCAGGCATTCTGCTCCATTGAGAATGGCCGAATATTGAATGCGATATGGCCTAGGAAGTAATCTGTGACCAGAGGTGTATAAGCCAGTGTTTTTCTTCCCCATGTATTGATACCCCAAAACCAACCCATGAAAGGTAGGGTACTTGAGTAATGTGGGCGAGATATCATCCAGACTTTTCGTCTGACAAATGGCCCTTACTACCACTACACTCCTTACGCGCTTGTTTTTGTAAGTATATCATGCATCAGTGATAAGCTGTAAAAGTTGATCGTGACTAGAGAGAGCTGGAAGCTCTTGAGGGTTTGTTTCATTCGGCTCGTTCAGTTTTCTACTGTTCGAATCAACTCCAAGCTAGACGCCGCTTCACATCTTGCTAGGGCGCGTTATACTTTGCATCTGCTTGAGCCTTTAAACTGGTTACATTCAAAGGTTATCCTAGCTTGTGAAGTGTACCCCCTTGGTCCTCATGGTTAGTAGTCACTGTAAATAAATGATACCAGATTCCGGATACTTTTCTTGTATCTTGATGCTCGTGAGCTGGAACATTTATGACAAGTTTTTCGCCAGGTCCTTTTCTTTCATTCTAGAAAGGCTTTTTTTCTCACAAGAATTGCGGTTCCCAGCGATTATTTTACGCGGTTTCGCAGCACTTTGATTGTACTTTCACTTACTTGGACGACTTCTGCTAACTATTCCAACACTTGTTCATTCCAGCTTGCTGAATGCAAAGCAGTACCGTCGCCGATAAAAGGTGTTGAAACTGCTAAATTTTCGTGTTCGATCGGTTCAACATCGGCTGAAGGTCGCGTTATGGTGCCGTGCCTGCCGTCAGGAACTTACTTCATCGTGGCCGAATACAAAAGTGGTGATACCGAGTTTCAATTCAGCCCTTCAGTGCAGAAGCTGATTGTCAAGGACCGTGCTACCACGGTGGGTTTTCTTGAGTCATTTGCTTGATGCTGCAATATGAAAGTAGATTAGATTTTGGAAGAGTTTTCGACTTGGCTTCACCTTATTCCTCTAACGGGATATGCCAAATTGTTCTCATTCGAACCAGTTTTTCAGGTTTCTTTCTCAGTCAGCGGATTCACTGCTCGTGGACGAGTTGTTGTAGGAAAGAAAGGGATATCTGGTGCAGAAGTGATCGTACAGGGCAAGAAGATAACCGAAACTGATGCAAACGGTTACTATACGCTTCAAGCGCTTACGGTGGGTATTGCTTACGTTACAAAGCATTGACCGGCCAATCGTCTGTAGAAAATCCTTGAAAATGGTGATGAATTCTATGTTAGCGTGTGAGAGAAATGCCACCGAAGCGCAGTGAAGATGAACCTTATGGTGATTCCATGTCTTTTCACACCTTTCGTTTTATCAATATCTATCCTTATCTTTTTTCATGGTTTTGGAAGGAAAGCTTACTAATGAGCTTCTTGATTTATTTAGGAAGGACCAGTTGAGGTTACGGCACGTGCCCCTCACACTAAATTCAGCACAGAAAAGAGCACACTCACCCTACCAAATGTCAGCATTCGAGATGTGATCGTTGAAGGGTAGGTATTTGTTGTAATGTTTCTGTTTGTATCTAAGCATTCGCGACCTTTCACCATGGTGATTCACTCACTGAAATAACAGCTGTTCTAGTAGTTTTTTTTATTGTTTTAATTCATCTATATTCCTATGAGTCGTTTATATCATGCGATGGGGTAAATGGACGGTCGCATCGCTTTAGGGTGGACCTGTGGGCAGAATTACAAGCTGCTTTCCTCCTCTTTAGTTTTCTCGACTCTTTCGAAGCGAGCTATTTTATCAACGCTTGAATACGGAGTGGTACGCTATCATTTCCAGAGGGGACGCCTCTCCCTCTTCATTGCTTGGACATAGGGAATGGAGGGTCCAGTGGCCTCCATTCAGGGTCAACCGTCACGTTCGAACATTTTCGGGATTTTTGCGACCCCCCCTCTGGAAGGGGTCCAGTTGCGACCCCCACCAATACACAATTGCGACCCCCCAATACAACACCAGCCATCCCCCCACCGCGACCTTCCCTCTTCTATAGTATTTGATTCTGAGACCAGTTGACACAGCCCAAAACCTACCTAAAACTCCGAAACTCCGCCTACTTTTCCCCAAAAATAGCCGTCGAGCGGGGGGGGGGGGGGGTATATACCAACCACTGAAACGGCAACTTTTTTGCTTTTTTTCCACACACCTCTGCCCTCCTGATTGACCAAAGCGCGCGCAATGCGACCCCCCCTTTTCCCTCACCAAGAGACACCAAAAAATGCGAACCCCCGTTCGCAATTGCTTCCGAAAGGGACGCGCTTGAACCCTGTCCTCCATTCCTATGTCCCGTATTACCTTCGCCAGCGAAAGTAACCAATTGCAATGGGGCGAATCGAGCGGTGGACATCCGACATCTTGAAAATAGCTTTTTTTCGCCAAAGACCAAAAGCTAGTTTCCTCGGATTTATTTGTGTACTCGCTAGTTCTCGCTAAAAGGATCCATTTTGAAAGCTGATATAGAAACCAAACCTATTGTAAGTGAAAAAACCAACAACAACAACAAACATTTTCAGAGGATTAGATTCCTTCCTTATAGAAAATACAACGATGCCCCTCTGTAGACGTCGTTGTCCTACCCCATCACAGACAATGCTGCCCGCAGGTCGTTCGCCCCTTGTCAATAACATGCTCGTGCGCGGAGCCGATATAAACATGAGAAGCCTGACGATGCTCTCTTTGGGACTCAAACGTCCATTCAAGACGATGTGACCTATGAGTGGGATTTTGCTATATGTACTGAGTTAATGGGGCTGCATTGTGCAAGTAAGTGCTCTGATTCTCCAGACAAGACTGGTTCCAATAAAGCCAGCCGGGTGGATAGAAGGTTTGGTTGGCCCTGACGGCGTAGCCCCGGAATTTGGTTCTCGTAGCGTCGCGTGGTAAACAGCTTCACATAACACTGGCGCAACTTCCGCTATGGTGTCACCACTAGCCGTCATCTGTGAGAAACTTCGCTGCATGAATAGACCTTAAACTAAGCCCTAACAATTATGCACAAGGTTGATAAAAACGGAAACTAGCCCGAAACATGTTCAATTGAGAAAGTGTAATTTATCATGCAATTAATATTTAGATTTGATGTCTGCGGAAGTGTTGAGAAAACGGCCAGTGAGGCAATTGCAACACCACTAATACTGAAACGGGTAGATAATGCAGAGACCGTTTCGATTCGACCAGGTGCTGATGGAAAATTCTGTAAAATGGTTCCACCAGCAAAGTATACTATTTCGGTATGAATGATGCTTACTAGTTTTTTTTTTTCACAGAATTGTGAGATCTTTCAATGAAATTTTTCATTTGAAGCCAGCTGATTCCTCTTCTACATTGACGCCACGATCACTGGATATTGACTTAAGTGCATCGTCAGTTCATGATTTACGCTTCACTCACTTCAAAACTGACGCAGTGGTGCTTGTTACGTGTATAGGTGGTTCTCATTAACGTTTCCTTTTGTCCTCTGTATGAACAATCGCATAAGGCGCTACCAGGAAGGTCTTTCAGGGCGTGACCAAGCTTTTTGAAAACGGTCTTTTGCATGATATAGGGGCACATGCGGGAACCACAGAACCATGGTTAATTTTTCCTGAACGGCCCTCTGAATACCAGAAAAGGGGTCCCTAGTTCGATTCCTCGTGGTGACAAATTTTTGCATTTCGAGTTGACGTTCCAAAATTCGCGCAAAATGGAGTTAGCATGAATAATTAGTACCATATTCATGATTAGGGCCGTCAGTAACTCCTACAAAAAGACTTTGACTGACCTTTTCCTTCCCAACTCTATGCCGTGGTTATAATTCAGTTTTTCTTTGCTTCTCTCTATGGCTATGGGCTGTGCGCAACGCCTTAGTGGAAACTTTTTCCTGTATCTTCTACCACTTTCTCTTTCTTTTCTCTTTGCTTCAAACTAATTTCTCTGTACAATCACTGTGTGAGTTCTTGATATGGTTGCGGCGTTGGGATTTTGGTCCCTATGCTCTGTTTTGGAAGCCTTTTTCGGAAGGTCGACGGACTCTGTGTTTTGGAAGGTTTTTTTAGAGGGCCGGCGGACTACGTAAACTCGGACTTTAAGCAGCCAATCCGATGCTCTCGTCTGCGCTCTCTCGCCTTATCAGCGGCTGATGACCACTGTGATCTCACACATTCCGCACTGTAATTGGCTCACCCACCCTGGAGTTCCTCCCCCTCCAAGGCTTAGTCCTAGGGCTCTCACCTCCTTCCTTGGGATTTGGAGCCGAGCCAGGCGCCGTTCTCTAATTGTCTGTGCCCTCCGCCATTCGTGGCAGGACCATAGAAGAAAATTCAACTGACCCACAAACCTTTTGGGGTGCACATGGGTGGCGGATCCTGAGTGTACTTGCTGAAATTTCCACATTATTTGGATCAAGCGTGGTGGTAAAGGATTCCGACTACAACTTTCCTGCTCGGCTCTATCCCGACTTCCTAAGCTTCACTCCTCCTCCGCCAGCCCCCTAATCAGACAATTTCCTCATCGCGATTTGTTGAGCCGGAAGGATGTAGAAGCTCAGTTTCGTTTAGTGAAAGAGGTAGATTGCTCGAGCCCTTAAAAAGTTTCTTGAATTCACCCTCGAGAACAACCATTCCCTGCCCTTTCGTATAAGGTGGAGTTCACGATGAGAATGCAGCCCATTAGAATCAAGTTAGAGACGGTCGCTGAAGCACGGATGAAGAATAAACGGGAAGAAGCGGCCTGGAACTCGCGAAATGGGATAATTTCTCTAGCCGTTGATTCTCGATTGGGGCGAGTCGCGTCGATTCTGACATCATCAGTGCGAACGTTCTACTCTTATTTGCTGAGGCCGGGTTCGACGGCGAGGGGTTAGCCAGTCGGTGGGCGGCCAGCAGCGCGAGCGGTGCGGGATCCCCTTTACTACGAAACGCGCATCGCCCCGTCCTCTCAGAGGC